AACAGCTTAACCTTCTTTCCCTTTTGAAGAGGAGGGGGGAAAGAACATGCCATGACAGATCTCCTTTGGTCGTCCCTACCTTTATATCCCGATGCCGCTGGTCAGGGCGTCATGCACTCTCCACCACCTTCCCACATGCTCATGACTGAACTTTCATGTGGGAAAAACAAGAACGGATGCATGTTTGTCGGCCGCTTGCCGCACCGTTTCCCTGCTGCGTCTCCTGGACCACACCGAAACCGCGACACGTTGACGTCGTACTCAGTACTTATCTGTGGTGTGCGCAGCCGTATTGATGCCGAACCGAGGACACAACCACAAAAACGAATGAGAAAAGAAAGAAAGAACGAAAGAAGTCGGGGAAATATCAGAGACGAAAACAGAGAGGGACGGTTAATACAATTGATTGATGTTGCTAGACAAGTCAGACTCCGACTCCGGTATGATGTTTAAGGGCCATTTCTTATGTGCACATCAAACGGCCACGCGTTTTCTTCCTTCAGTCGGAAATTCCCCAGCCTTTGGTGGGTTCCAAAATGTCGTAATTGAAACTTGAGTATGAGGTAGACGAGCTCGCCAGCCCGTCATCTATGCAGTGGTCGATTCGAGGGACATCTTCGCCTGGTTGACCCTGGTGCTTGGGCCCGGCAGTCGATTGATGTAATTACGAGGTACAACTTAAAATTGAGCCCCCAAAAAGGGTCATTCTTGGGGGCCGGCGGGAAAGCCTTCGGGCTGTCAACAAGTTCTCTCTGGCTTACGCAGTATAAGACTTGGCGGTGTTCAATATGGGACGGACGATGCATGTCAAGTCTGGGTTGATCCCAGTTGGCTTGCCTCACTCATCCGCCTGGCTGCGTGTGCTCCGTTTAGGTCCCGAATACCGTCCCGCTTCGTCGAGAGATCTAACGGTTAATGTTTTACCCGACCTGTGCGTTGGGAGTCGTGGAACTCTACGAAGTCTTACAGCGTGTATCTGTATCTCCTCCAAGATTTAGCCGTCAAACCCAGACTACGCCTTGTAAGGGCAAGCCGAGACTTCCTCGTATCCTCTACTACGCACGAGCGCGTGTCTGGGGTCTGGGGAGAGCCTCCAAGAAGAACGCATCGTGAGCTCTCCGCATGAAAAACACCCCAGTTCCGATCAAAAGATACGGGCATGATACCGGCCGAGTGGACCAGCGATCTGGGCCACCCAAAAACCGCGTGATATCCTATCACAATATCATCGAGTGGGTAGATGACGAGTCATTTCACAAGAGAACAGTCGACATTGGCCATGTTGCATCCCGGAAGACGGCGCCGGCTCCGCATCAATCCATCACAATTATCTCATTAATTGATGCGGAAAAGGGAAGTGCCCTACCCTCCCACTCGATCTAGAAAAATCGAAACTCTAAATCAAGAGCGCAGCAAAGACTGTGCCTGAATGTCATGCCCGTCTAACCTCGCACTACGAGAACCAAAAGTCAATTGATCCTTTAGTCCTATCAAAACAAAACATGTGTTACCTCAGCGTAGGATCTGGTCGAGGAGCACGCGGGAAGAGAAATAGGTTATTTTTACCGACTGATGGCAAAACGTGCTTGAGTACATGAAGATTCTCTATCTGAGGAGGCGGGGACTTGCTGGTCGCCTTCCCGTGCACCTGTAACCAGCGAGCGCACAGGTGATTCCCGTAGCATTGAGACACGGACGGCGGCCTGGTGCCCGACTCGGGGTCTTGTCCGCATCACAAACCTCAAGGGGAGTTGCTGAAGGGAGGTCTCCCATCTCATCGCCGCCCTTGAACTACGGCCTAGTCGCTGGGTCTTCCATGATGACGATTTCAACCAAGGACAATTGGAGCCTGAAGCTGCGCATCACAAGGATTCTAGAACACGTGATACAAAATATCTCCTAACGGGGTAATGGACCCAGTGAGATCCCAAGACGTTGAAGACTAGGCATTTGGAATTGGCTATTAGTGGTTGCTCGGCATCAGAACAGCCAGTCCCTATCCTCTTGGCGACACAGGGAGGCGGATAGCGAAAGGCCACCTCACCTCACCTGCGGGCTATGGCGGGTGCAATTGACTAATAGCCGAGCACTTGAGCGGTCATGCTGGGAACTGACGGGGATTTGGATTTGACCTTGAATGCGAAGCGATCCATGGTAGACTCCCGGATCCAGTTTCTCCACCAAAACTAGCGTATGGAGGGCTACCCCAGCAGTCGTAACATCCGTGGGTAGTCTGGCTCTTCAACGATCAAACGGGCGATATATTAATAGTCGAGAGGTCAGAGGTCGAGATATCTCAAACTCTACCCATAGCGGAGCTCAAACTCAGGACTATGGAATTTCATTTATTGCCCGGCGCCGCTGTTCGATGGGTACGTACCGTCCGTCCCGGGGTCCCCAAAAAGTCGCGACATCGCTGGCGAAGTATTGCCTGGTTGCTGTCCTTCACAACAGACGCAAAACGACCCTTCTCCTGCGAGCAATTCTCTTCTTCAGCCCTCCATCAGCATCAGGCTCTCTGCATGCATCGTACACTACCTCGTCATGCCATTTATACACCCCTCACTCACTCGCTTCCTTTCCCTTGTACACTCCCGTGCTTCGTCCTCCGTACACCGCAAGTACCTTGTAACTCGGGTCAAATACTGTGCTGTCTGCTCCGGAATTCGCTCTTGAAAAGTCCCGTCAAATTGATCCTTGCGGGCTCTTGATCAAATGTTTCCCCAAGAAGTACGAAGTACTGCGCTATTATAACATATTGATTACTTGCGTGCTTTTGCATCCCGCTGCTGTGTTCAATTGATAAATAAGCGTATTAGACCATGACCCGATAGAAGATTAGTTCGAGACTCCTTGAATGTCTGAGGACGTCTCACCGTTCTTGTGGCTGCAGACTTCGGGACGTATATCTATTTCTCGGCTCCCACTTTTCCACTCCCGAGTTTAAGGACGGCTTTCCAAATATTTTCCTTTTTCGATCTCCCATAGCATATTCTGTTTTTCACCTCGTGAAAACCTATTCCAGGAAATTCGTGACCGACCTCAATTTTGTCCATCAGACACCGCCTGTACATTGTCCATCCTATCTCGAGGTATTCGTATGTGAATCGGGCACACCGAAGACGGACAACCAATGCAAGACTAACTGGACGCTCGACTCCATTCGCCAACCCAGATGCTGAACAAAATCGTCTAACACCCCATCCCGCCTGCCATCTATACCTCACTCAAAGCCGTTACACTCGTTCTTCTTGCCCTCACCTCCTGGTCCGCCTGGCTCCTTCTTTGTTTCCCAGACGGTGTCCATCCGCTCTTTCCTCGAATCTGCGAACTCGTTGCCAACCGTATTCTTACTCGAAGGAAGGAGCACCTCGTTCTTTTACGGCTGATCTAGTATCCTCCGAATGATCTTCCTCCCAGTCGCTTCCTCTTCACCTAATTCTTCTTATTTTTATCTTCCTTCTCCTGCTCTTCCTTATTCACACTCTCCCCGACAAAAAACACCCAACGTTTGAACCCAAACAGAACCTTATCGTCGGGCCTATTCATCATTGATCAATCGACCAAAAATATCCAATCCCGATTCCCCACACCACTCACCACCGCAGCCAAACCCCATCGATCCTACGACACGCCCTCGCTGATCCCCACAGCTCCGGAACACAACCAAGCTGAAAAGCGGCTGTCAACTCTCCGCAGCCAAAGCCTCACAGACTGTCAGGATTCGACCTGCGATCTGATCCCAGCAATTGCAATTGACTCGGGTAGGCCGAATCGGGCAGATATCAAGGGTCAGTGACAAACAATTCCAAGGCGCCAGCACTTGGAATAAAAACCCTGTGTCTTGTGTCTTGTGCACATCGACCTAGATTCCTAGTTCATCCGTGATCTACGAAGTCATCGATCCAGCCGTCGTGAGGTACTTAGTTCCGGTACCGTGTTGCAGGACATCAGCACTGCCACTGCCCTGTTCAGGCCCCACACCCCTCCACGCCTGTCCGTTCGCTATTCCGACACCCCCCCCCTCAACCTAAACCCACTGGGTGTCAGCCTCCTCGTTCAGGGGTCATTATAGCGACTGTGTTATTGCACTCCCACTAACTACTATACGTACCACTGCTGCACACGCCTACGCTACGCTGAGGTTGCATGCGACTGAGCAGGGGTACCAAGTACAAGAGCCATAGTACTTGTACATTCACTATTGTTTCCATTATTGTTGTTGGTACCATTTTTTTGATCCACAACCTCAACATCCGGGCTCGCCCCGATCGAGAAGCGAAAAAAAAAAAAAAAGAAGAAGAAAAGAAAGACTGAAAGAGAGCAAAGAGAAGACTGACTCGGTGATAGAGTATTCTCCGAACATTCGTATCCTGTAAGTGTTATCCTGAGCTTCGAAAGCACCATGATCTCTCACAAGTGGCCGGCTCCAACCCTTCACCAATTCCATCCTCGTCCACACTGGTTCCCTCATCCTCGTCGAACTATTCACTAGTCCATTGCAGACCGGCGCACTTCCCTCTCGGCGAACACTAAAACTAACCTCGTACCAGCAGCTCCGCCCAAGTGTTTCCGGACACACTAGCTCTCTTTTAGGGACGCTAAGCGGCAATTTCTCAACCTCTCCGAGTCTCACTCAGCAGGGGACCTTGCTACCTAGCAGCGAATTGTCGCCACTGGCAAAAAGTCACCTGGCCACCACTAAAAAGGGTCTACGAAGTACCAACAAATCCTCGCGTGGATCCAATACCACAGCCCAGATCTTAACCTCACTCTTCTTCTTCTTCCCCAACATCACCGGGCTGGGCGATGGTCTGCGGCTTGGAACTACTCTAACACCCCCCTCCCTTGTGAGTCAATACACGTCATCGTTGTCCTCTGTTTAGCCTCGCAATTCATTATTATTATCATCCCCCGCTGCCTCCCCCGACCTCTACTCGAACGATGCTGTGCCATCTTTGTCTTGTTCTTTGCTAACAACAAACAACACACAGCCGAGAATGGCGGCAGTCGAGCGCGAGAGCCGACCATTGGAGGCCGCCTCCATGGTAGGCCTATTGGTGGAGAGCGAAGGCGTCCTAGAACTCATCTATCGCTGGTACTACCTCATCCTCGGCGCTGTCTTCATCGTGAGCGCCTTGACTTACAGCATTCGCTCCTCCAAAACCGAAGAGGATGCCGTCGCACCCACCGTCACAGGACCTGGTGGAAAGCCTCTCCCCTTAACAAAGAGGAAAAAGAAACATGAATACACCAGCGAACATGATTCGTCGAACCTTCCGAGCATTGGCCCCCACGCGAAGAGAGTCTTCCAGCTGCTCTCAGTCATCCTCACTCTCACATTCTTTGCCAATGGCGTCGCGATCGGTCTTCACTCCTGGAAAGCAAACCGAGACCTGCCTTGGGGTCAGGTAAACTGGTGGTGTGGCGAGCCCATGGTGGTAAGTTCTTCAGTCTCCAATTTCTGTTTCGGCTATTGTGGGGGATGAAGGATGACGGTTGGTATTGGGGAGGTTGTTCGTGTACTTGAGATGGGGTTGGGAATGCGCCTGATCTTGTTCATTGTCTTCGTTACTGACATTGATCTTCTTTTTTCTCCCTCTTTCCTAGGTCTATGTTCTCGGAAGTGCCTGTGTATACCTCTACTTCACAGTTACCCTCTTCGAATGGAAAAAGAGCCCTGGAATCGCCCATATCCTGACCTGGATTATTGCCTTTGTTCTTGAGGCTATCATTTTCCTCAACAGCTTCTTGCGTGCTGAGAGATGCAAATCCCTTCACATCGACACTGGTAGCAATTTTGGTGGCAGGTGCCTTGATATCTGGGAGCAGGTTGACCTTGGACTATCCCTCACTCGTGTTGGTATCCTCGCTGGCCTATGCTCCATTTATGCATGCATGTGGAGCAGGGTCCATCCCGATGTGCTTTCCAAGGAGGAAGACTTTGGAAGCCGTCGTTTCAGCCAACCACCCCTACATCGAATGGCATCAACCGACAGTGCAGATACGATCACTGAGGAGACGACGCCACTTCTGACCACTCTTGGCCGATCATACCATACACATGAGACGAATGGTCACCACGAGCGCAGCCTTAGCAGTGCTGGAACTCTAGCGAACTGTGCCGAGACCTCGACAGGTCTCTACAGGGATGAGCAAGCGGCGTTTTATCGGCCTAAGAAACTGCCCAAGCGGAATTGGTGGGACTATCTACGGGGATATACCCTCTTCTGGCCTTATCTCTGGCCGCGAGAGTCGTTCTGGTTGAAGTTCCGAGTCTTCGTCTGCTTTATTCTCCTGCTCTTGCAGAGAGGCGTAAACATCATGTTGCCGTACCAGATCGGCAAGGTTACCGACCGACTAGCGAACGCGCACGACCGTGGCGCCGCGGCCGTGATGATGAACGACATGCCGTGGATCTTACTTTTCAGTGTTAATCTCTTGATGCTCACACAGGGACAGGCAGGTCTGCTTGGCTCCATTCGCTCCATCATCTGGGTCAAGGTTTCTCAGTACTCCTACAAGGCGCTCGAGACGGCTGCTTTCGAGCACGTCCACTCCTTGGGCTTGGATTTCCATCTGGGCAAGCGGACGGGCGAGGTACTCTCGGCCTTGAACAAGGGTGGCGCAATCAATACTTTCCTCGAACAGGTCACCTTCCAGCTTTTGCCGATGATTGTCGATCTCTTCGTTGCCATCTACATCTTCAACCGAGTCTTTGATGCGACCTACGGCACGATAGTGACAGTTAATGTATTTTGGTACCTTTACCTCACGATCAAGATGGCGCAGACACGAGCGGATCAGCGGCGCGAGATGACGAATGCCGACCGAGAAGAGGAGGCAGTCAAAAATGATTCGATCACCAGTTACGAGACTGTCAAGTACTTCAACGCAGAGCAGTACGAGTTCCGACGCTACGAATCGGCCATCGACAACTTCCAGCGGGCTGAAGCCAGGGTCTCGTACGGCACGAACATGATGGCAATTGTGCAGGCGGTCGTGTTCGTCTCTGGTCTCGCCGTTACCCTCACAGTTGGTGCCTTCCAAGTCTTCAACGGCTTCCGCACCGTCGGCGAATTTGTTACCTTGCTATCGTACCTTCAGCAAATGCAAAGCCCGCTCCACTTCTTTAGCCAATTCTACCGTGTCATCCAGCAGGCGTTGATTTCCGGAGAGAGGTTGTTGGAGCTGTTCAAAATCCAGCCGAGTGTCCAGGATCTTCCTCATACGCAGGATCTGACAGAGTGCAACGGCCACATTCGCTGGAGAAACGTCAAGTTCTCGTACGGTAACCAGCCAGCTCTGAAGGATCTCAATTTTGAATGTGCGCCGGGAACCACCACGGCCTTTGTCGGTGAATCCGGTGGCGGGAAGTCAACAGTGTTTCGTCTGATGTTCCGATATTATAACTGCAGCAAGGGTAGCATTGAGATCGATGGCCACGATGTCAAGGACCTAACTATCGATTCCGTTCGCCGCTTCATCGGTGTTGTTCCGCAGGACACGATCCTCTTCAACGAGACGCTCATGTATAATCTGAAGTATGCGCGACCCGGATGTACCGACGAGGAAGTCTACGAAGCGTGCAGGGCTGCCAGCATCCATGACAAGATTATGGCATTCCCGCTACAATACGAGACAAAAGTCGGTGAACGAGGCCTTCGTCTTAGCGGCGGAGAGAAGCAGCGCGTGGCGATTGCTCGAACCATCTTGAAGAACCCCAAGATTATTATGCTTGATGAAGCTACCTCGGCTCTCGATTCCCGGACAGAACAGCAGATTCAACGGGGCGTTTTGAATGTTGGACAAGGACGCACTGTCCTTATCATTGCGTAAGTTGCGCCATCAGCTCCGCAGGAAAATCAAAATGACTGATGTGCTAACTTTCCTAGGCATCGACTATCCACCATCACCCACGCCGATCAGATCATCGTCTTAAACCAGGGAGAGATTGTCGAGAAGGGCACGCACGAGGAGCTCATTCAGATGGGCGGCTACTACACTTCGATGTGGGAGAAGCAAGCCCAGGCGACACGTGCCGCTAACCGCGAGTGTCTGAAACTACTGAAGCAGGCCAATCTCTCGACCAGGAAGCATCTCGATGTGCAGTCCGAGGGATATAGCAGCATGGCCTCGTCTTCTATTCTTCCAGACGTGTCGCCGATGTCCGAATCGAAACCAGTCAGCCCAATCGATTACGAGCACTCGTCTGATGGAGAATCGAGTCACACATTCCATAGCGAGATGGATCGACATTAAAGGCTTCAGCGGGTCACAGCCCTCCGCTCGAACGAAACGAACGCGTCCGGACGATCATGGACGACGATTTCGTTACCACCATGATTTCCAACCCATTTTAATCCGTCTCTCTCCCTCTTCTTTTTTTTTTTTCTTACGCTTTCCCTTTCACATCAACAGAAACCGTGTTGTTCCGTTTCTTTTCTAACAGCATTCGCCAAGCACCACCTTCGATCTCCTAATATTGAGTCACTAATCTTTTCCGATCCCCTCGCCACTCTTACGAACGACGGTTTAGACCTCGATTTCTTCTTTTGCGCCTTTTCATCTCGGAATATGACAAATGTCTTCACGATCATACATTTCCTTTTTTGTCACCTCTTTTTCGTCCATGTTATTTTCTCGGACTATGCATATACACTGCAGCACATTGCGGCAAGCATCTCAACTGGCGTTTCGGCTGGCTTTAAGGAGTCGTTGTTATTATATCATTAGATATCCCGAGGGGGAATGTTGTTTCTTTTTTTTTTTTCTTCCTTTTTTTGTGCGAAACTGATCGTTTGTTTCTTCTGATAACGTTGTTTTTGCCCCCACTTTGATGTTGCAAGCGCTACTGTCTTCTATCGCACGATGAGTGGACAAGTAGACCTGCCACTTCAATTGGAAGGCCGAAGTAGTTATAACGAGGAACTGTTGGAACATGTCTGGCTATATCTGTTCCTTCTACCCCAGCCGAGGGCCGTCGTGCAACGGGAACGTCGTTGCCTTTAATGGAGGAAGCGGATTTTCTTTGCTCTCCAGTTCAACTACAAATGACTGGTATAATGAGATGATGAGACGCCTCGGCTTTCTTTATGTCGGCATGATTTTTTGTTCTCTCCTTCGTCTTCTTCTTCAGTCTAATTTTTTCCTGGCTTATTGTGTCCAATGTTGCATGTGTGGATGGTTTACCTTGCTCTCATCACCCATCGCCGTCTTGTTCCCCAACTTTTTTCCTTCTCCTCTTTCCCCTTTCTCCTTCAAATCGATACGGTAGGGAAGCCTTGAGCGGAATCTTTTGACTGAAAAGGCTTGATTATTGGGCGGAAGTGAGTTATACCATTCATGTTTCCTATATTTCGTTTTCCAAATGTTGCTGTGAAGGGTAAAGAAAAAACAAGGAACAGATCATATACGCTGCATTGCTGGTCTTCACAGAAACATGGCTGTAATTTCTGCTGGCTTCCATCTTGGCAAGACTCTTTTTTGCGATCTCAATTCGGTTTGCCACAATCCCCCTTCGTCATCGTCATTGTCATTATTGCCATCATCGATGGAGGGACCTTAGGTCCCCATTTTTTTGTTTTGGAACTGGATCATTCTAGCATTAGGGTGGGTTGGGGATAAGGTAAGGAAAATTAAAAAGAAAAGCATGATTTAACCGAGAAACTGCGCATCGTCACTCTGTGTCTACCATCGTGCCATCGTAGGAGTGTCTCGTCTCACCTTGGCTGTGTCGAGGGTTCTGGGCAATGCCGAGACATTCCTCGCTGAGGCTCAAACGTCAGCTGTGTTTGTCTCCTACCAGTAGCAAAACTACTCCGTACTCGGTATTCATATTTTCGCACTCGTGGTCACGTACCATGGCAAGTCATGCGTGCCTCTAGTGTCAAGTGGTGGTGACGATGGATCTATGCGAGTGTTCGTGTTTGGGTGGCGGATTCCAGATCTGGAGAACCCTGATTCAGGGTCTTTCCAAAAGTGGTACAAGTACAAACGATACTTTGTACACGCCTAGACGTCTTCATACTCGACACCCCTCTTACGTCATGTCTAGAATTTCAAGGGTCCAGAGGATAATGACGGGGAAAGAACGACGAAAGGGACGCACTGAAAATAAAGAAAAAAAAAAAAAAAAAAAAAAAAAAAAAAAAAATTGAAGAGATACAGTTGTCTCTCAGCCGCTCTTTACAGACGCCTTCATTTTGGGCGGCCAAACTCGGTTACTCTTGTGTTCTCTGAACTTCAAGGTTTAGCGATGTTGGATTCCCAGAGGTTTTTTGATTCGACAGTGGTCCGACAGCTCCTTCCCTTCTTCCAGGATCGTGAGAAGTCGGGATTTACCTAGTTTAACAACTAAGAGTACGAAGTATTAATCGTCCATGATGTTTCTAGTTTTCTCGGTTTGCTTAAAGGTACCTACGAAAGTCGAAAAGATGAGAAGCAAAACCGAGTCCCACAGGAAAACGAGGGAGCCAACCACACCAATCTCGATCTCCATCCACCTTCGAGGCAATTCTTATGACTGTGAATAGAGCCGCGTGACAGAAATGATATGTGGGGAGGGAGGGGGAAGAGGGGGTGCGCGTCCGGGTGTGGTGGAGGGGGAGTGTCGCGCAAGGCTTCACAGTTTCCTCCGGGGGGCTCTGGGGAATTCGGGATGTACGAAGGACTGACTCAATAAGTTTGAAGCTGAAAAGACCCGCTTCAACTCGGCATAGACACGCGGAAGGTTCTTTTTTTCCCCAAAGAGAGCCCGAACGGTGTGCGAATAGAGATCTTTTCGAGGCCCATGATCCCCCTTTTTTTTGCTTCTTTTGTGTCTCTCTTTTTTTTCGGCTTCGGACCCGACGCACAGTTTCTGAGACATGGCCTTGTAGATGTAGTTCTTTTCGGGACGTTTTGTGCAGATACAATCCTGCAACCAGGCTGGCGGTATCTCTACCCTCGCCTCATTGTTCTCCCGAGAAACAAAACAAGAAGACCGCCCCGACCTCAGTAGGGGAAATTGAACTGCGTTGGATCAATTGATCCCCCAATTAATTTTCCTCAGTAGCCGGGTGCATCCGTCATCATCATTCAAGTGTCTGACCCAGGGTCCCGAAGAGCCTCAACTCAGAATTAAGACAACATCAAATGGGCTCAGCTCATCATGGTTTTTGTGTGTCAATGTATGAAGTAGTGTTCATGTCCCATAAATTAATATTAAAATACCTCTATAGTTGTATGAGAAGAAATATGCTAGCGATCGAAGCGAAGGAGAAACAATTACAAGGACAATATAGAGGGAAGTTGAAGGCTTTATGTGCCGGGACCGCCCACACGCCGCATGCCGACCTCGTTACCCATGTTGTTGCCCGAGAGAAAAGGAGGGGAGCCATATTCGCACACGCATAGGTTTCTCGCCATATCGGAGAGGCTCCGCGAAGAAGACCACATGTGCGAGTTGCGTCGCAAACCAGAGGAGGCATCCAGTCGGAGATAATTATCCCCAACCTATGCATGCACCGCGCCTCCTTTCCCCTCCTGTCGATAATATATCCCCCCTTTTGCGGGGAAGATGTCGTGCATCCGATTCTTCGATCGGCCCCGGTTATGCTAAGATTCCGTTTCCATCCGAAAAAAAAAAGGTGTTTTCCATCCAAAACGAGTGTATCCGTCTAACGCCGCCAACGAGGAACAAGAGCCGCCAAGTCGTGGAGTGAAGAGCTCATTAGGTTGAAAAAGGTTACCAACTGCCCCTAGTTGGAACATGGATTGCATAGAGCAGTCGGCGGTGACTCGCGAATCAACTCCACCACTCTTCCGCGCCATCTCGCGGCCCCCTTTCCCACCATGCAAGACCCCTCCCTTTCGTTCGTCTCAAGGGTCCAAGGTATTAATGATAATTCCCAACACGTCCGTCTCCCTCCTCTAGGTCGCTCTGGGGGCGTGCTTCATTCCCGCTAGTCGACAATGCTTAGGGAGGCAAGGGAAAAGAAGAAGGAGAAAAAAAAAATGACGTTTCCCAGATCATACGCCTGTGACAAACTAATCAACAACATCGTCATGGCCACATCAATCAATCAACCCAAATCCGGCGAGTCGATTGGTTCGTTCCGCTCAGTTCGATTTAACAGTATGTCCATTAGCATGTCCATTAGCACGTCCATTAGCATAGCCGTTAGCATGGCCGTTGGCATGTCCATTAGCATGTCCATTAGCATGTCCGTTGGCCTCTGCAGCCTTGTTGGGAGTTGGCTCCTCAACAGGCTCGTCGTCTTCGCCCTCATCGTCAGACCGCTCGTCCGTAGCGTGCTTGTCGCGGATGAATCGGAGTGCGATTCGGACAATGTAATACAACCAGAAGAGGTTCAGAGCCTGCAGGGAGGAGAGAAGACCGAGGGTGATCCAAAACGAGATTTCACACTTGAATTGACCACCGGCCCAGTCGAGTTCGTAGGGGCCGACCGTCTTAAACTCGGTAAAGAGAGAGTAGAGGATCTTCAGGTTGAGGTAATGACGCATGTAGATCCAAACGCCCATGAAACAGGCAAAATATGGCCCAACTATGGGCGAGTCGAGATAGTTCAGCGTCTTGGAGGTCTACAGAGAAAGAGAAGATAAACAAGTTAGTACAACAAAACATCAATCATATCGGTCAAGGGCGTTAAAGGGACAAAAGGGGGCCCAGCTCGTCCGCTCCGGACAAGATAGGACGGGATGCAATTCAGAGTTTGGGCAGAACCTACAGCGAGGAAGAAGTCACTGATATCATGGGTCGTGTAGACAGCCAGGCCAATGTAGGTAAAGTGGAATCGGTAGCTGCAGCCAATCAACGAAAGACTGACGATGTGATGGGCCACGAGCTCACGGAAGTCCTTGCGAGGCTTCTCCATACCGAGGATAAGGACAATGGCCTGCTGGGCCCAGTAGGCGGCCTGGAAGAGGTAGTAGAACTTGACAATTCCCTCCTGGTACCAGTGGGGAAAATCCTCGTACATGCCGCGGGTGTTGAAGTACCAGACGGGCGTCTTGCTCATGACGTACATTCCGGCGGGACCCAGGATGCCGAAGTAGAGTGCCGTATACGCCTGCTCCATGAACCGGGGGGTTTTGCGACGAGGAAGACCAGCGAAGCGAGCCATGGGGCGGAAGACTTCCTGCATGAAGAACTCGCGGGTGAAGGTGAGGACAATGGTGTAAAAGACGACAAAGGCAATATCCCAGTAGCCTTTTCCGTAGAGCTGGGGCTTGCCGGGTTCGGTGGGCTCGGGATAGGAGAGGAAGATGAAGTGGTGGATCGGATTCGACTCGGTGGGGTTGAAGGCATAGAGCGTGAGGAAGGTGAGGAGGAGACAGCCGGGAAGAATGCAGTTATGGCGAGCTATAGCATGTCGGAAGCGAGAGAGCAGGCCCCTGGCCCGGCGGCGCTTGGAGAGTCGTCTGGGCGCATCGGTCTGGAGTCAAGTCGGGGCACATGTCAGTAAAAGCTTCATGACAACTTTCGTCTTGGTCAAACCACCCCTCCCTGTCTAGCCAAAGTTACCACGTCATTTTAAACACCGTTTCCCAACGGCATAAAAAAAAAAAAAAAAAAAAAAAAAAAAAAAAATAGGTTTCTGGCTTCTGCGAAAGAGACCCAATTCCACGATAGGGTCCGTAGGAATGAGGAGCTTGAGACGAACCTGAGAAGCACCATCTCCAGAAACCAAGCCACCCCTCGACTTCGCGTCAGGGTCCCCTATCCTAAACTCAGAGCCAATAACACTAGATTTCCTCCTCCTCCGCGGCGCTCCATCTCCGGACGGTGTGTGTAGCTGGTCGGCTGAGGTATTAAGGATCGGGAAGGGTTCGCTAGCCGCCATGACGTCGGTTGTGGAAAGGGGGAAGATTTTTTTCTTAAAGGAGCGACACGATCAATCTTGCGCGGGGAGACAGAAGTCCTCCGTTCTTCGCAAAACGCGGGATTGGGCGGAATTGTTTTTTTGTAAAATCAGAAGGTTGAGAGAGGAAAAAAAGGAAGTTAATCTTGTAGGGCGGCCGGGTGAGGATGAGGACAGTATTAAAGGGTTAAAGGGAAAAAAATGCCCGAGGGGCGGTGAAATAGAGACGGGGAAAAAAAATTATTGAAGCATTGATATTGGCAATTCGCAGATTGTGTACCTCGCCGAGTACTTCGAAGGCCGCCAGGGAAATTTGGTCAAGGAATGAAGGGGGCACAAGTCCAGTCAGGCAAGTCATCAAGGCAAGGGGAGACGAGACGGGAGGAATGAGACGGAAGGCGGGGAACTGTAGAAAGGGCCCCGTCACATCGGTCGCGGAACCCTCGTTTAATTTGAGAGGTCCCAGTCCCTAGCCAAAGTAAGCCAAGTCGGAAGAAAGAGAGGCACTTGGGCACAGGGTAAGATGACGGCTGAGAAATGGGCACTGGTCTGGCTGCATTCACTCGTTCCTCCCTTTGCAGGCCAGAGTTGGCAAGTACAAGATCAATGATGACGCTTACAATTGCACAGCTGCACTCCACCAGCTTCGTGCTTCGGAGTTTACTTGTAGATGCACAATTAGATCACGAGCGTCGAGGGTTTCTGTCCGTATGTCCGAGCAGCACGCAACACGCAGCATGCAACACGCAGCAAGCATTTGATATCGTCTCCCCTTGACGAGCAGGGAAGTTGCAACAGACGCCAGGCGCAGACTTCTTCGTACGACAATGAAGCAGGAGTGCGCCCACCATCAAATGGCATCAATTGATGTTTTGCTTGGAAGGCGCAACTCATAGCACCATCAAATGTACTTTGTAGCCTTAATCCTCGGCGCGCCTTCGCTCGCGGAAGGGAAGGACCATCCATTGTCACAACCTTCACAAGATAAGCAACCACCCACCACGACTTCCTCGACCGATTTCATTAAGGAGAAACGAGAAGGCACGACGGAAACTGTGGGTCAGCCTCGCCTCGCTGTTTGCCGTTTCCATGAACTCCATAACCGCAGTTCCTGCGGACTCCAACTAACACTGAAAGTCCGAAAGCCCGATGTACAAAAGAAAAAGGAAGTGGGCAAAAACCGCACGAAGGATTTTCTGGCATTTTCCAGGGGGCCCAGCCTGTCTCGCCCAATGCCTGTGAAAATCTTCGCTTCAGTGGGCTGGTCTAGCCAAACGGCTCTCCATGGTCGACACTATTACCAAATACACTAATTCAATGCAGACGATCACCGAGGCGGGTCGCCAAGACGAACGGCGTCCGTTGCCTGCCCCCCGGTCGACCATCAGTTCCAACGAACGAAGAAATCGAGCCACAGAGAGCCCAGTACTGCCCAGCAGGATCCCCATTTCAGAACCTGGGACCAATCCGCTGTATCCACCCAAGAGATTTGGCTCGCGCATCTCGCATCTCCCGGCAGCGGGTCTCCACCAGTTTAAATTTGTGCTCCTGGTAATTATTGATTAGACTACGCTAGTGCAGTTCTCCTGGGAGGACTCCAAAAACCGAATGGGACGATTCGTCGACATTTCTGTTTGCAGATCGACGTATTTCGCGGACGATGAGACGCGTTGTAATGTCTTCGGACAACGGAACATTCTGAAGAACCGGTGCATGGGTAGGTCCTGCGTCTTTTTTTTTTTTTTTTTTTTTTTTTTTTTTTCATCCCCTCCGTCGTTGGGAATGTGGATTCTCTCTCGCTTATTCCTTGCTCGATGCCGAAGGAGCCGGTATTGCTCGAAATCTGCAAGGCGGAATGCATCGGGGTATCATCAGCAAGAAACCACTCCAGAAACGCAACAGGGTCGAAAGTGCCCACCCAATAGATGATGTCTCGTGACACCATCACCTTTTTGGGAGCAGAAGACTGAGTCTTGACTGGGGTCTCCGGAAGCGAGGAGAGCGACGAATTGTCGAATGGCACAAGCACATGCTCTACCATCTCAACACCGTGGACCTCTTCATCACAGAATCATGAAAGGACGTCCTACTTGCAGGATGTAACGGCTGATTTAAATCCACCCTCTGCCATTCCCAACCCTCGAAGGGTATCCAAATCATGTAAATACAGGTTTTGATTTTGTTGCTCGAACCCCCCCGGGGGGGGGGGGCTTATCAAGTATGTAGTGATTCTCGTCAAATAAGTATTATGACGCCGACGCCCAGAATATTCCTCGCAGCCTCCTCTGAGCCAATTGCAAAGACTTGCTGCCAGACTTTGTCTATCCATGCTCGTCGTGTAGGTCTCGTCCGCCTCTGCTCTGGGTGGATTACCCTATAGAGTCAGTAGTCACCCTGGGAGAAGATAGATCTCGACAAACGACAAAGGGCGAGGAAGATAGCCTTGACAAATCTTAGATAAGATCAGCCCTCCGTGTATCTGAGCTGCAAAACTCTCATGGTATCTACCAAGTACAAGGACAACCAAGAGCTGGCAGAGTTAATCTGAGGGACTTACCATAAGACCTACTTTTTTGCTATCTAGGCATCTTTCTGCTATATCTCTCCTCACTGGATGGAAGCGGGTGCTCAATAGGCATGAATGGATCCTTTAGAGGTCAAGGTGAAACGAATCAGCCAGCTGGGGAGTTGGATGTGATGAGTCGCAACGTCCGGGTCGATGGACAATTCATCCCGCAGCGACAACAGTACTACGTATCTTGATCGCTCTACTTTATTTTCTGAGAGAGATGGCTTCCTGCTCTCCCTTTGAGAATTACTAAGTAGGTCAAGTTTTAACCTTGAACATCATCCCCAGGGTCGGCGAAATACCCTCGGCCTCGGCCCGCAAAACGAATTCGACACCTCTAGAATCCCCACACTCCTTCCTGCTACATGATTGTAGACCTTCTGGGAGAAGGCTCCTATCCCAATAACCCGGTGTTTCTAAAACTTTACGACAGGTGCTTCTCAGAGCAGCTCCGACGCGATCACGGAATCGACCTGTGGGTGAGGGATGCGGGGGGAGGAAATCAGCGTCGTCTAGACAGGCGCAGCAAGCCGATTTCTTCACAATCTGCGGACCATCCCCGATTTCGAGGAGGACACGAGGGAGACTTGGGACGACGGCCAAAACGAAACATATCTAACTAGCAAAGTTGAGGCTAAAGCTAAGCTGAACAAGGACGAGGAGGGAGCGGTTGGATTGG